CCCCCGGCATGCCCCTGACACGCCCCCGCCACGCCTCTGACACACCCCCGGCGAAAAGCCATCGTGCCGAGAAAAGCCTTGGCACACCCCCGACACGCCCCCGACACGCCCCCGGCGAAAAACCAGCGCGCCGAGAAATGCCCCGACACGCCCCCGGCATGCCCCTGACACGCCCCCGCCACGCCTCTGACACACCCCCGGCGGAAAAACCAGCGCGCCGAGAAGCGCCCCGACACGCCCCCAACACGCCTCTGACACACCCGCAGCGAAAAAAACCAGTGCGCCGAGAAACGCCCCAACACACCCCCAACATGCCCCTGGCATGCCCCTGACACGCCCGCGCCACGCCTCTGACACCCCCCCGGCGAAAAGCCAGCGCGCCGAGAACCGCCCCGACCCCCCCCCGACCCGCCCCCGGCATGCCCCTGACACGCCCGCGCCACGCCTCTGACACCCCCCCGGCGAAAAGCCAGCGCGCCGAGAACCGCCCCGACCCCCCCCCGACCCGCCCCCGGCATGCCCCTGACACGCCCGCGCCACGCCTCTGACACCCCCCCGGCGAAAAGCCAGCGCGCCGAGAACCGCCCCGACCCCCCCCCGACCCGCCCCCGGCATGCCCCTGACACGCCCGCGCCACGCCTCTGACACCCCCCCGGCGAAAAGCCAGCGCGCCGAGAACCGCCCCGACCCCCCCCCGACCCGCCCCCGGCATGCCCCTGACACGCCCGCGCCACGCCTCTGACACCCCCCCGGCGAAAAGCCAGCGCGCCGAGAACCGCCCCGACCCCCCCCTGACCCCCCCCCCCGACATGCCTCTGACACACCCCCCGCGAAAAACTAGCGCGCCAAGAAAAGCCTTGGCACGCCCCCGACACACCCCCGGCATGCCCCTGACACACCCCCGCCACACCTCTGACACACCCCCGGCGAAAAACTAGCGCGGGAGAAAAGCCCCGACACGCCCCTGACACGCCCCCGACATGCCTCTGATGCACCCCCGGCGAAAAACCAGAGCGCCAAGAAATGCCCCAACACACCCCCAGCATGCCCAGGGCACGCCCTTCACACGTCTGACATACCCCCTGCAAAAACTAGATCACCCAGAAACAGCCCCAGCCCCTCTCTCCCCTGCACGAACAGCTGGACGCACACGCTCCCCCCAGCACACTTCTGCCCTCTGAAGTCATTGGCAATCTGTTTCATAGTTTCTAGGGTCAGAAGGGACCTGAGAAGGTCATCTAGTCCGACCCCCTGCCATGGCAGGAAAGAGTCTCAACTTCAGTAAGCTTCAAAGTAGGCCCTGCACTCTAGCCGTGCTGCATCCTGTCCCAAATGCTATTTGAATTTATTCTTCTCTGAACTGCTAACAAGGTGCTTTAACCACTGGGCTATAGAGTAGACTGAAAGACACTGCTCTCTCCATCCTACTAAAACTGAGCCACTGCACTCAATTGGTAAGAACCAACTGGAAAGGAAGAGGCTAAACTAGAACTCAGAGCTTGTTGGTTTTTATTACAGCAGCCATCTCACTAAGCCACAAGCATGCTAACTAATGTGGCTTCTCCTTGCCTGGCATATTTCTCTTCAACTGGCAGCCCAAGGGACCCACTTCAGAAGAAGGACTGGAGACATCACTGAAAAGCATTCAACTTGTGGCCTAGTGGCTAAAGCCCTGTATTAAACACTTAGAGTGGCACAGGTTCAAAACCTTCCTCCCCTAACACCTATGCATCATATTGTTTTGCCTACCTACACAGATGTGCGTCTGCACTGCACGTGGAATAAGACCACAGGCCGTGCTAGCAGCAAACACAGCCGATTTAGGGCTGGGGAAGGGGCGGGTGTCAATCTGTCTCAACATCAGCGGGCTTCAAACCAGGGCCTGCATTGTAGCCACGTGTTTCTCCTGTCCCTTGCCTTTAGCCTCATCTACAGGACAGCAAAATACTGTTAGAACAAGCTGTTTAACCCCTAGGTTGCCTGTACAATGCTTTGCACCCTCGCACGTAAGCAGGAACAGCTGGGCCTTTTACCAGGCTAAAGCAGGTCAGTCTGGACTGGTTTGGTGCTAACATGGAAGTGGACAAGCTAAAATGGTTCAAGCAGTCCACAGTGCATTTGGAGATCTCCCAGTATGGTGGGATCTGGGGCAGTGGCTTAAAATATGCAGGGCAAACCAGCTAGGCTTTTGCCACCAGCTCAGTAGGACACATCAAACTGCTAGCGCTTGTCAGTCAGGCCTCTAGTGTAGCAAGAGCTTTTGATTGCTTCGCTCACTCCCAACTTCACTCCTAAGCATCCTCTAGACTTGAAACAGCCTTTTAATTAACATTCAGTCCTTTTCCTGCCTGTCTTTTGGCTCCATCCATCCTGCACTTCAGCCCCTAAGTTTGTTAATGGCCCCATATAATTCCACTGCCTCCTGCTCAGTTTAATCACTGTCTTCCCAACCTTGTCTTTAGATCATATGCTGATCACAGCAGGGATTTTTTTTTTTCTCTTCCTAACCATGTGTATTTTTTTCCCTACTGGAAAATGGCCTGTATAGCTATGGCACCCCATCAATAATAAATGTAATTGATCAGAACCAAGCGCATGTAACAACGTCTCTCAGCTTGTGCCCATGTCGCTCGCTGGCTTGCAAAACAGCCATTAAATTCCATTGTAGCAACATGTCTACCGAGAGGAGTGAATTGTCTCCAATGCAATTTACTGCTGAGATGATTGAAAGGTTTGACACACACTGAAATCTCCGAGTTTTTTGTTTTTTTTTTTTACAACCCAAGCTGCTGTTTCCTCTAATGATATTCATGTGACGTCTGCAAATGACAATAGTTTTATATTCACAAGGCAGCTTTTTGACCATCGGGTTTGTGTTGTCTGTTTTGTTTTGTTTCTCCTCATTCAAATCTTGGTGAACTCTTCCCCCCCCCCCCCTTTTTATTATACGAATCAGCCAAATAATTTAAACATGTGTTATTCTTTAATAAACTTTGTGTTCACATTTCCCGGGTATGCTGAACGCTCATTCCTCATTAAAGGTGGGGAGACCAGCATGCATGAATCGAAGTGAGAATGGAGGCTAATGTTCTTTAATTCCAAGTCAAAGAACATTAAGCTGGAAATAAGATGCACATTTTCAACACCGAAACTAATTAAACAGTGGAACAGATTGCCAGGGGATGTGGGAGATTTTCCATCAGGCGGAATCTTTAACTGAAGGTTTTCAGTGCTTTTCCGCAAGATGGGCACTAATTCAGCCTCGAGCTGTAGGGCTCAATGTAAAATCACTTGGCGAGATGCTCTGTGCAGGAAGTGAGACCAGAATGATACCTTCTGGCCTTCAGAACGTATTCATGCAGCATAATGTGCTCCACGCAGATCAGATGCACTTGCAACCCTTGTGCATCTCCTGACATGCAGTAACTAGAATAGCCTCCCTTGCTGTTAGTAATGCTTTCAAAGAGGAACTCACCAAAGTTGAAGCAGGCAGAAATCATCTCTATTTCCAGCATATTTCATAGGGTTCTGGCATCATAGGAGACAATGCTGTCCAGAGGTGGGAGCAAACGACTGATTATGAGGAGACTGGTTTTCTCCACCCTCCTGGCTCTGCCACTGATGTGCAGCAGGGACTTACTCAAGTAACCTAATCTCACTGGCTCAGTTTCCCCCAACTCACTGCTTTGAGCCCCTCCGTGGAACAATATCACAGACTAAGTCATGAAAAGCAGCTGTGTTGTTCAATAGGCTTGGCATCCCTCTCAAGACTGCCCTTAATTGGAGAATGTGAAAATCCTGGTGCAACTTAGCAAAACCTCAGGGCTGCCGGGCTTAAAACAACCCACTCTGCTAGGTGAGGCTGTCTGGAGGGCACAGTGCCGTCTAGCCCCTCCTAAGCCAGGCAGCTCTCTATCTTGCCAGCCTGGATTTCATCTGCTTTGGGCTTCCCATGCAGCGCAAAGCAGAATCTGTCTCCTTGTATTTTTAGTGCTGCCTTGTGGAGGGAATGATGACAAATGCCTCAGAGGAAGAAAGTTTCCAGTGAGGCGCTCCCAAACCAAATTACTGTTAGCAAAGACAACACACACCAAAGTCATTTAGGGCAGATCACTGAAATAGCTCTTCTATATTTTCCTTTTTGCATCGCAGTGCCATCCAGGGAAACAGCAGCTATTTGTGTTACATGCCAGAAACCATTTCCCTAACATGTTGACAAATCTGGGAGGATGAAATACCTCACTGAAGTGTTGAAAAGCCCAAAATGGGATGACGGAATCGCCATGCAATATTCAGCGTGCCTTTCTTTGCTGCACACGTGCTCCTTTGATGTGCTCTCATTGGGGAGCAGTAGCTAGTCTGGTCTGACTAATACAGCTTTTTTCTGGCAGCGATGGTTTAATTTTGCATGCTGAAGTCTGGCTGATGTATAAAACAGCAGAATAATAAAGGGACAGGCCTGCTTTGAATGGCTGGAAGCAAGAGAGGAAAATGAATCCCCTTCTTGCAACAGAGGGATTTTTGTTCAATGGCCCTAATACAGTGCGCATGAACAAGTGGCTTTTCCTACAAACCCCCCTGGTAGGATCTGTGTGTGTAGGGGTTGGGTGGGGTAGCAGCAGTACAGCGTAATGTATTTTGTACAGCACACAGTACTGATGTGATGTAAAAGCAAACCTATCTCTGCATCATTTCTTCTAGTGCTCCCGACCACAGGAGACTTTCTGCATATGCTTTATCATTGAGAACCTCTAGAAGAGCCGTACCCCTGACTCCTGGCTCTCATTCCAAGTAGTTCATGGGTTTTGCTTAAAAATTGTGCATGGTGTATGTGTGTGTGTGTGTGTCTGCACGCATGTGCTTTTTTTTGTTGTTGTTGCTGCTCCTGTTTCTAAGGAACAAAACAGTTTAACTCCCTCCTGCCCAAGCAGACGCCACTGTGGCAGCCCTTTTGTTTAATTGCAAACACCATTTCTAGCAGATGGCCCCCAAAACCTCAAGCAGGTACCTTGAATCATAGCTACTGCACCTTATTAATGCAAATGCAAACTGTTTATGAGCTGAGCAGCAGTCGTCTCACTTGTGCAGTGCAGTTCCTGAGGGAAAAAAGAAATGGAGCAGCCAGACTGCAAAAACTGCACCCTCTTGCTTTGTGATGGTGCACAGAGCTTAGCCAAAGACAGGAGAGAGGCTGAATGGCCAATACTGCCTCCTAGAAGTAGGGGAAGCACGCTGCCCCAGCCGCCCCCTGCACCTCTGCCTGCCAACCACCCCCCCAAGCAAAGTAAGGGAACATCGCTCCCTGAAGAGGGAATCAGTCCAGCCCACCTGATGGTTTCTTGGCCAGAAAAGATATTAAAACAAGCAGGCACGTGGATGGATGGGCAAGAAGACAATGGGACTGCAGCCTGAAAGGACAGAGTAGGCTCTAAGAAAAGGGTGCAGGAAGGCTAAAGGAAGCTGAAAGCACCAAAGAGAGATGCTCAAAGACTGGAAACCAGGGAACAAGGTTGGGCCAACAGACCACTGAAGGAAGCCCAGCACATGGCTCAGGATAGGATATGCCAAAGTAGAGTTGAGGGTCCAGGTCCTAAGAGAAGCCAAGGTGGGAATGGTCAGGTAAAGTGGAGCAGGGGATTATTCAGGCATAGAGAAGTGGAGTGGGGAAGTGCTGGGGATCTGAACTGGGTTTAGTTTTCTAGCAAGAAAGTGGCACTTGGAGAGGGATGAAGCAATGCAGAAAAGGCCTCAGCAATGGCAGCACCAGACTGCCCTGCCCCCACCCCGTCCCCCCAGGAGGAGGCACTGTTATCTGGGGGTAGGGACCGAATAAATCAGACTGCTGGTGTTCAAATCCTTCTGGCTGGCTCTACTGTGTCTAATTGCTGTGCTTAATTCATGGCAAGCAGCAAGGCTACCCCCAGTGGTGAGTAAATGAAAAATGTAATACTGATTTTGGTCATTATTCCTGGTAAAACCTTGCCTGTCCCTATCACCTGGGCCCAGCGGCCAGGTGAATAAACTTTTCCATTGGCGAACAGGGAGATGGGAGCTCCTGCCAACGTAGCTGGTCCACCTGGACAGCGATTGGCACACTACACTTAGCCTGGTGCTGGAGGCCGCTCTCTTGCTCAAAGACCAGGGGCGGGGGGG